CTATTACCATCATAGTTATTATCATCAACACCATCATCGTCATTTTTTGTCATCATTATCTTTATTACTGATATCCACATTAACATTTTTTATCACCGTTATTATCATTATCATTCCTCCAGACTCAACGACTCGACCCAGGGCTTCAAATACACGGAAAAACTCCTCCAGCTGGTTGGTGACGAGAAGTACGACGAGGTGAAGGCCCTCTTGCAGGAGGGGGCGGACGTCAACGTTAAAGACGAAGGGACGGACACGACAGCCTTGCACGTCGCGGCTTCGAACGGGTTCACAGGAATACTCAGGCTGTTGCTGGACGAGGGAGCGTACGTCAATGCTCAAGACAGCACGGAACAAACCCCTCTACATATTGCTGTACGGAAGGACCACATCGACTGCTGCCAGTTACTGCTGGAGCATCCGAACATCGAGGTCAACCTGTGCAACAAAGAGCGAAATACCATATTGCACGTAGCAGCCAAGGAGGGCAGGTATGACGTTTGCAACATGATTCTCGATCAGTCGCAGCTTGACGTTAATGTCAAAAACAAGCGAGGCATGACGGCCTTGCATCTCGCAGCTCAGGAGAATCAGCCGCGGGTGTTGCAGCTCCTCCTTGAAAAGGGGGCCTTAGACTGGAAAATCCAGGATTCTAATTTCTACTTGGCTCTGCATTACGCGGCACAGAAGGGGTTTCCCGAATGCTGCGAAGTATTGATGTCGACAGATATCAAAGACAACAAAGTCAAGCAGCTTTCAACTTGTTTAAAAGATGGCAAAACAGCCCTTATGCTAGCTGCTAAAAATGGCCATCATAAATGTTGTGAGAAACTAGCATCAAACAATATTAACGCGAAGGATAAGTCTGGCGCCACCGCCTTGCATTATGCAGCTTCCGGAGGTTACGAAATCACAGTTTCTGAACTGCTAGCAATGGGAGCGAACCCGAACACGCAGAACCGGAAGGGCAGCGCCCCAGTCCTCGATGCGGCGTCGAAGAAGAGGCCGGGCTGCCTGAAGGCCCTGCTGGCCAAGGAAGTGAATCTGGGTGTCTTCGATAAGCACGGCAAGGGGGTCCTGCACCACGCAGCTGAAAAGAACGCCGAAGAATGCTTGGCACTGCTGTTAGAAATTCCTAGCGTGCTGTCAATCCTGGACCGCAAAGACAAGGACAGCTGCACAGCACTCCACTTGGCCATTAAGAGGGAGGCAGTCCAATGTGCCCTCCTGCTTTTGGAGAAGGGATCCTCGGCGACGGAGGAGTGCGTGGGCGGGATGACCCCCCTCCACCTCGCCGCTGACAAGGGGTATACGATCATCTGCGAGAAACTGTTCACCATGCCGGGAGTGCAAGTCAGCAAGGAGAACGAGATGAAAGCGACGCCCTTGCATTTAGCAGCATTGCACGGATCGGTAGATGTCTGCCAGATGCTGCTGCGGAAGGGGGCGCGGCAGACGGCGGTCGACGTGCACGGGCGGACGGCACTGCACTTGGCGTCCGGGAAGGGAAATGCCAACGTGGTCAAGTTCCTGTGTCGGAAGGGCGTCCCGAACAAGGCGAAGGATGACACCGGGTCGACTGCGTTGCATCTTGCAGCTGCGTCGTCAGAAGGAGCGCTGGAATGTTGCAAAATCCTGACAGCTAACGCAAAGGCACTTAACTGGGACACAGATCGAGACCAGAAGCTGCCGATCGACAGAGCCTATGAAAAGGGTCATGACGAGATCTTCAAACTTCTCCTAAAGAAATTAGTCTTCAAGGATAACCAGGACAATCGCATGCTGACTCTGCATAAATATATGCATGAAGCCTTACTCGCCAAGAGGATGTAGGTATAGCACATGTTTTCTTTCTATATACAGGTATAAATTTATGTTAGAATTTTCATTTAGGAAAAAAAACTACTTTATTTACGTTATACTTGATATACATCATATTTTTTAATGTTAAAGTATAGTATGATTTGTATAAGTATTTTGTTAGATGGAGCGATTCGACTCTCTCTCTCTCTCTCTCTCTCTCTCTCTCTCTCTCTCTCTCCTCTCTCTCTTCTCTCTCTCTCTCTCTCCTCTCCCCTCCCTCTCCCTCCCTCCTCCCTCCCTCCCTCCCTCCCTCCCTCCCTCTCCCTCCCTCCCTCCCTCCCTCCCCTCCCTCCCTCTCCCTCCCTCTCCCCCTCTCCTCTCCCTCTCTCCCTCTCCCTTCCCTCTCCCTCTCCCTCTCCCTCTTCTCTCTCTCTCCCTTTACTGACACCATTCCCTTTTCAGGAGCATTGTGGAGGCCATCATAGACAGCGAGTGGTGGGAATCGGGTTTTACGGGGAAAAATGGCCACCACTGTGAGAACTTCCGGATGCTGGTGATGTTCTACCCGGAGCTGGCTCTCGAGGTCCAAGAGAAGTGTGTCGAACGCGTTTCAAGCTCCGAGACGCGATATGATTTGAGGCTGTACAATGATAACTATTATATCCCAGCAGGTAAGAGGACATTGGAAATCGGTTTA